TTGAATTTTCCAACATCTAAATAAATCAGTTAAATTACTTTTTTAAAAATATTTTTATTCTGTTTTATTTTCATACATCTCACATGATTAAGATTGTATGGGAATAAAAATGATAAGTTAAAATGTTTTGATATTTATTACGTTTGATTATTCAATAGCAAAATCATCTCAATGTATATATAACTTACTGGAATGGCAATCCGATTCAGTCTAGCTCGGCTTAGTTCGGTTTCACCCAGTTTAACTCAATTAATACCAATTAATAGTTATTAATTGTCATATGCACAAACTTTTCAGTTATGTTACAGCAATATTGTTGCAGTGTTGCTGCAAGATTTGTGCTGTATGTTACCATAATATAAAGCCTATAGCGAACAGAAAAACTTAAGCAGGAGCGAATTGATCAATAGAATTAATTCTATCTTTTTATAATTCTTGACTGTGATTGGCTTAAAATGAAGAAAAGAAAAATAAATACGAATAGCGAGAAGTTTAGCTTCTTCTTTTTCTTCTTTATTATTAGATGTGATACAAGATGTAGTACAAGCCATGATACAAAAACAAAAATAAGCAATATAAGTACAAAATTGTTTATACGAAGTATAAACGACAAAGTCGAATTTGGAAAAACAAAGTTGGAACGTAGTATGCGTAGTAACGTAGTACGAAAATTATGTAAAAACGAAATATATTTAGAAAAGATTCAAGAAGTTTAAAAGAACAGACGTAAAGTTTTTATGACTAAACTTTTTGCATTAGTATAAAAAGCATACTAAAGTCTTTTTCGATGGAAATATCACATATTGTTAGATATGATAACTCTAATTCACTATAATTGCAGATAAATATCAACATTCGATAGTTGTAGGCTGTATATAAAAATTAATAGTTTACTATTACAAAAGCTTGCAGTAGCTGTAGATGCTGATGCACCGACACAGCTCTGTTTTAGATACATTACATTTTGTCTACATTTGTATAATAGTGCTACTCACAGAAAAAGATAAAAGTTGAATATTCTCTTTAAGTTTGCAGTTAATTTACAGGAGGATTAGATATTATTTCTTGTCTTATTTTTGTTTTTGACTGTAACGGAAATTTTTATCAAAGATAAATGCGCACACCTATATATGCGCACACCTATATGTAACATATACTTTTAAAATAATACCTTTATTTTAAAATCCATAAAAGAATATCATAATGTAATAATTTATTTATTTTTATTTCAAAATCTTCTAATCATAGCTTGTTTTTACAACTAGTGTTACTACACTTATAGTTAAAATAAAATAGATATATGTTCAAAGTTTCATGAAAACAAAGTTTTAATCCAGTTCAGTGGAGTAACGAAAATCAGATTTCATACAAAACGAAAAAATAAAATAAAAACAAAGCAAAATTAAATAAGGAAAAAAAACAATTTATTTAGGATGTAGGAAAATTGAAAATATGGATGTAGAATATAAAAAAACTCAATTGTGCAAAGTATAACGACACATATATTAGTATTAAATATCGTTTTGAAATAAAAATTATTTCGGCCCAAGCATTTTTTCAGGTTTAACCCATTCGTCAAATTGTTCCGCCGTTACTCCATGTTTTAATGCCGATTCTTTTAGCGTCAGATTTTCTTTATGTGCATATTTAGCAATAGTAGCAGCCTGAAAAGATAAATTTTTAGAAAAATGTTAATTTTTATGTATGCTATAAAAAGCTTCTATCTTCATTATTTTAAAGAAATAAATCTATAAGATACCTTATCATAACCAATATATGGATTTAATGCCGTCACAAGCATTAAACTCTCTTTTAAGTTTTTCTTTATGTTGTCAATATTCGGAGTAATGCCTACAACGCAATTCTTTGCGAACGAAGAGCAACCATCACCCAATAATCTTGCAGATCTCAAAGTGTTCGCAAGCATAAGCGGTTTAAAAACATTAAGTTCAAAATGACCATTACTACCACCAACACTTATTGCCACATGATTACCCATTACTTGACTACACACCATAGTCAATGATTCTGCTTGCGTAGGATTTACTTTTCCAGGCATAATAGAACTTCCAGGTTCATTTTCTGGAAGAGATAATTCGCCTAAACCGCATCTAGGTCCACTTCCCAAAAATCTGATATCATTTGCTATCTGTAAATGATACAAATATATAAAAAAAACATTAGTAAAGTATAAATAATAATGAAACTATTTTATAACAGATATATGTCCAAGTGCTTACTTTCATGAGAGAAATAGCTACTGTATTAAAAGCTCCGTGTACTTCAACAATTGCATCGTGTGCAGCCAAAGCTTCAAATTTATTTGGAGCAGGGACAAAAGGTAAACCAGTGTATTGTGCAATTTTTGCAACTGCCTTTTCAGAAAAACCTTTTCGCGTATTTAATCCGGTACCGACTGCTGTACCACCAAGTGCTAGTTGATACAATCTTGGCAATGTATCTTTTACTCTTTGAATACCATATTCAACCTGCGTAACATATCCTATAAAATATTTTCATGTATATTTTTAGTTACTGTAAATAAATATTAAAATAATTTACATAAATATAAACCTGAAAATTCTTGACCCAATGTTAACGGTACCGCATCTTGAGTGTGCGTTCTACCAATTTTTATGATATCTTTCCAGTTTTCTGCTTTTTCTTTCAACGCTTTATGTAATTCTTCTAAGCCTGGTAGTAATATTTGATGAATTTCTAAGGCAATAGCTATGTGCATAGCTGTTGGAAATGCATCATTGCTACTCTGCGACATGTTAACATGATCATTTGGATGCACAGGTTTTTTTGAGCCAAGTTCGCCACCGAGTATCTCTATCGCACGATTGGCAATAACCTAAGCATTTGAAAAATATTTTATTAAATAAATTTATAAGATTATTATTTCATGGGATAATTGATAAATTTGGTTTAATAAGTTTAGTATATTATTGAAATTAATATAATATTTGACCTCATTGACATTCATATTAGTCTGTGTTCCAGATCCAGTTTGCCAAATAATCAAAGGGAAGTGATCATTATATAACTTTCCACTTATTACATCATCTGCTGCTTTACTAATAGCATCGGCAATTTTAGGATCCAAATTAAATTCTTTATTTGTTTCTGCAGCAGCTTTTTTTAATATACCCATAGCAATTATCTGTCTACACTATAAAAATAAACATTTAACATATTTACTATTCCAAGTACAAGAGAAGAAAATTCATTTAAAAAATTTATAATATCGCTATTACTACTTACAGGCATACGCTCAAATGTATCACCAATTGGAAAATTTAGCACTGCTCGAAGAGTTTGTGCGCCATAATATTTGTCTGCAGGAACTTTTAATTCTCCAAATGTGTCTCTTTCAATTCTATAATCTTCCATGCATTCCTCTTCCTATACATACAAAGCCTATGTTTGTATTGATGATACAAAAGTATATAATAATAATTAATATAATATAATAATATTAAATTTTATTATTATGTTACATGTGTATGTATGTATATATATATATATATATATGTATATATATATATATATATATGTATGTTATTTATTATATAGAGAATATGGCAATATTCCTATAGTATAGATTTCTAAGAAATATTTTAAGGACATGTATTCAGAGAACATCTTGTAAATAAGAAAACATCCTAAGGACATTCTTCAAATAATGTATGCTGTATTATATATAATATATATAATTATTACATCATAAATAGATAAATTTGTTTTAATGAAATATAATTGTATTTTATATATGATGCTGTATACAAAAGTTGCATCTTATATAAAATCTCATTATATAACGATAATGGTAATGTTTATTCTCTGAAATCTAGATTACCTTTAATTAAAAATTATCTTTAATTTTTTTAACTAATGTTATGTAAACTTTTTAAATATATATAATTTATATATGTTTTAAAATAAGTTTATAGGAAAAAATTGATTTATAATATACTTTATACTTTAGATCTTTTGACAGAATATTTTAGATATTTTGACAGAAAATATGAAATCTTATGAAATAACAATTCTGTTTCAATACTTTTATCCATAAAATAATAAGTAAGACTAATTAACGTAAAGAAAATATGTTGCTTAAAAAAATATATAATTTACAATATATAATTAAGCATTCTTTAAAATAAATGTATATATTTTTTTACATATATTTTTTGAATTATTTCATTATCCTGCATAAAATTACAATTATTTCATTAAAACATTAATATTTTAAAATGTATTTCATATTTTATATTAAAATTTTACATTAAAATATATTATAAATGTTTAAATTCCTGATTTTTTAAATATTTTCCTATTTTTATATTCAAAATGATAACAAATTGATATGAATATAAGCTGTATAACAATATTTCATCTTCAAATCTCACAAAAAAATGCAACCATATGGTAATTTGTTATATACCATACAACTTTTGTTGGAAAAAATTTTCTGTTATTTTCATGATTTAAACATGTTAAAAAAGTGATAATAATTGTCTTATCCTGTGTTTATATAATTATAAGACTAATATTTAAAAATATTCACCATTATAGAAGATGTCAGATGTTGTCAGTAATACGTTGGTAGAAAGACTGAGTCAGAGTGCAGAAATATCTCATATTTGAATACGTAATAAGTGATAAGCAAGATGTGTGTGAGTAAAACTCACAGAGATACATTCCATAAGAAAGTATATTTTAATATTTTTATATTTGTTTTGTATACAAAAACATTGTTATATTTTTCGTAATATGATAATTCATTCATTATAAAAGAAATTTTGGTTTTTTATAAAAAGAGAACATGCAATTATATTTGCATTTTTATTACTTTAATAAAATGAATAAAGTGAGACGTTAACACGTATCTCTAAGAAATGTTAATTATACTCATAAAACTCTATTATACATAAAACTTATATAATACATGTATATAAACAAATTTAAATATATTTTGGCAGTTCAATATATACCTTACAGGTCATAGTAGAAGATAAATGTAATCTTGCATTCGTCTGTAATGATGAATTAATTGATAATTTTTTCAATTGACGCAAACTGCGATGAGACAGACGATTCTTTAGTATGTTGAACATAATTGTATTTAAATTTCGATAATCCGCTGTTTTAGCAAGGAGCGGAATAAAGACAGTCGAGATAAAAATAATGAAGGGCAAAGACAATCTTTAAGACTGATACATATGATACAATTCGTTGTTGAAATGTAAATACTAGAAGTACGCAGGCGCAAGAGCGTAAAATGACAAGGAGAATTTAAATGTATCTTCATCTCTTTTTAGTACAATTTATACACTATGATTTGAGAGAATTTAAAATTCTTTTATTCGTTCTTGGATTTTCAGACATGGTGGAATCGTAAAAGTCAAAAGTACCGGCACGGTGTGCCCCAAATTCTTGCAGCTAGATTGTAACATAGCAGCAATATTGCTACAATATAGCTGCAAAGTTTTATACTATATAGTTACCGATCTTATCTTGCAGTGTTATATTCAGTGCAAATATACAACACTTTTATGTAGATAATTAAGGCAGCTTTGAACCTTCGAAGGTGTCCACAGAGAAAAGAACTTACTCTGTTTTGTATACTTTCCATTCTTTCTCGTTCACGAATGCAAGAGAGGGATGTATGCATCAGTGCTGTTTGCCACTTTGGCGGGACTATCTTGCATATTATGCGTTTGCGAAACGGTTGCGTAAAAATAAAGCGCATCATGCGCTTTGCGGAATTGTTAATGCGTTCCGATATTCACCTGCCTCAAATTGAAAATCTATATATGTAATATGAACTATATATTTTCAGAAAGCGTCCCAGATGCGCACATTTTTTAATCGGACACACCACTCACATCGGTCGATGTCTAGGAATTTTCTAGTAAGCCACCTATCAAAAATTTTTTTATTTAATCGACCAATCGGCAATGTGTCCGATTGGACCTCATCCTATTTTCAGTATTGGCAGTGAATATCTGAACGCAACCATACATCAAACTCAGTTGCTGGGAAACTCGATGTTCATATTAAATTGATGATGACTCTTGAAAAATCTAGTTGATCCAATATTGTTAAATTTATATACAATTGCTAAATTTGCTGTATATCTCATGTATATTATAACAAGATGAAAATATAAATTTTAAAAAAAGAAGAAAAAACTTTATTAAAGGAAAATTTTCAATAGAATGTTATAAAATTTTTAAGTGAAAATGCCTTGCGATGGTAGAAATCCAAATTGTAATAGAAGACGTGAATTGCTAACACAATTAAAATGTTTAATCAGTTCGATGGATAGAAAGTAAGTTCCTATTTGAGTTAATAATAAATAATGATAGTGTATCAGGAATGTGATTTATCGAAATTATATATTGTAGAAAACCATGTGAATGGGACGAGCCACCTTGTTCACCTATAGTATACTGTCCCACAGAATTACCTTCATGTGCTCCATTTGTGAGTTTTTTTTAGTCTCAATTTCTATTGAAAATGAACAATATTTTCCAATATTTATTTCTAAAATATTACATGGTCTTTGATCTTTAGAAATAATGATTATTTCTTTTAACCTATTTGAAATTTATATTATACAACTTATCTGTAAAATATACCATATAGAGTGACAAAATATTGCAGGAATTTGTTAAACCATGTAAATCATTCAATTTTCATGGGAGCATAATTTACAAATGCGAATGTATTAAAAGAAACGGCTTACAAGATAGATGCATGATGTGGGATTGCATGGGTAGATCTGAATGCATGACAAAACTTTATCCAATTTGTCAGCCAGGTCGTGCTGCATTATTGAAGTTGACTGATTTAGGTGATGAAGAGGTTGCACTTAGAAAATTTTATTGTGCAAACCAAGCTAGAAAGAATGCTCTGACTACATATTGTAGATTAGTTTGTGATAAAGCTCGTCAAAGACAGATTTTTTCGTGCGATAAAAGTAAATGTAATGAAAATATCAAGACTTGTTGCACTTTTGTAAAAAACAACATTTTAGATACCATATGTAATTTAAATAGTGACAGTAAGCTAGCATTTCACAATTTGTCTTCATATCAATGTAATGTACCATCGCCATTATACATATCTTGTAATCCACCTTGTAAGTTAGAAGAATCATCTTTTCCATGTAGTACATCTCCAACATATTTACGTAACGATCCAGCTTATTCAAATTGTATGTCTTATTGTAAAGCATGTTAATTCTTGAGATTTTAATCATTACTCAATTGGCTCTGTATCTCCTCTTGAACTTATTGTTATTGAAAATATATTGTATCATATTAATTTTGGCTTTCAAGCATTTTTTACTGTAAATTATAATAAAAATTAGGATGACAGAATCAAAATCAGCAAAAATGAAACAAAATTGGTAAAATAAATCAAATGAAAGCGTGAACGCTAAAAACTTTGGAAAGACAGAAATACATATTCATCTCGCTCAAGATTTTACGGGCCATCCCCGTGATATTGGCTTTATCTTAGAGATATTTTAATACTGTGTTTCGGTATTATTGTATCTTAGTGTTGGCAACACTGTGATCTCCAGGTATCTAAGCTCTATGACAAGTGTAGGATGACAGTTCCGTCATACGAGAAGATATATGTGATGCGAAATGGCTGTTATATTGTTCTGTAAATCGTTTTAAGTAACACACAAAGTCGAAGTGATTCCGAGATCGCGACGTGCTGAATTTTAAGACGGACGTGTCATGCCTCGAGAATCGTGGCATTCGATAATCGTCGAATTTAAGTCACGCGTACGCTGTGTCTGACGCTGACTATCGGCACAACCTGTTTCTCGCATTTACGAAGTTAAAGTTAAAACAAATTTCTGGAACAAGTATTAAATGTTGAAACGTGAATCTCATTGATTACTTGACATTAGTGTTGTACGTCGAGAGCCGTGTTTTACTTATGTAGATTATTGTATATTAATTAATTAATGGAATCGTATATACGGTCATCGAAAATCGGATATCTGTTTGATCAAGTTATTTAGTGAAAACACAATTGGAAACGTTTTGTGACGCCATGGAAAAGTTTATGATCGACTTGGATAAAGTTCTCAATGACTTCGAATTCAATGAAGGTATACGTTTTTAAACAAATATGTAGAATGATTTTTTTTTAGAAAATTGATTTTATTCTTGAACAAGTTTATGCTTAAACAAGGGTATACTTTCATAAGAGATATATGAGTGATATTTTATGTTTGTTTTTAAATTATTATTTGTTGAAAAAAAAGTATCTACTTAACCTTTTGTTAGACGGCGCTAATTTCTGAACGTGTAACGGAATTCTATCGCTATGATCAAAATTAAGCTATCAGTAGTTGAGCAATGTATAGATCATTATTTGTTATCCTTATCTTTTACAAATATTAAATACAAATAATGATATTAAATTTGTGTCTCTTGCTAGAAAGTGTCTTTTAATTTTCTTAATTCTGTTATGATCGTCCAGGATAGAGCAAATAGTTTACACTGAGCACTTACATGTGACCATAAGTCAGCAATGATTCATGTATATATATATATATATATATATATATATATATATATATATATGTGTGCCTGCAGTCGTTGAAGGATTAAATAAAGTTTAGAAATCATTTTTATTCTAAAAAACCAAAGAAGTTTATCTTTGAATAATATATGGTTTTTCTCTATATCTTTTATAATTAAACAGAGAAGTATGCTTGAACAAACTTAGGGATCTCTTGGACATTAGAAATCTTCCAAAGATATATTTTTTTTCTTAATACATTCTTTATCTATGAAATCAGTATGATTACTAGATTGACTTCAACTATCGATTATATTCAGGGAATTGTTCCTATTTTTAATCCATGCAACTAAAGAGAGCTGGACATTTTACTATTAACTCAACATTTTTGTAAATGTATTCATAAATAACAATTAAACTTTTAAATAAAAAATTTTTATTATATAAAATTGATTAAGAATATATTGATAATTTTATAGAAAAATATAAGCAATTTTAAATAAATAAATTTTATATATAAACTTAAAGACTTATAAAGTCAATAATAAAATCTCTTATTTAACTATTTGCAGATTGTGCAGAGCAAATAGCATCAGTAGCAAATTCTACAATTACTGTATCAGCTGTGGAAAAATGTGCTAACGAATCTGTACCTTCGAGAACCAGTCATCTTAATCCCGAGAAAGATGTATCAATCGATGTAGTATCACCTGTTGAAAAACACAAAGATACTCGACCATTAGAAATTGATTCCAATTATTCGTCGAGTGAAAAGAGCATAGTATTTATATCAGATAGTAAAGATTCTGTAAGTAACCTCTATACGCATGATTGTATTAATGACATCAAAACTGGACAGAAACCATGTGTTTATACTCATGATTCTGATCAAGTGTCTTTAACAATGTATAATGACATATCACACAATTCGATGCAGAAACAATTGAATACAAATAGCGATTCAAAAGATGTTGATAGGTACGACCAAAAGTTAAATCAACCAAATTTCAAGCCTAGTATTAGCAATGTGTTTAATAGTTTAAATGAATATATTAATGCTCCCACTGGAAGTTTAAATTACATTGATTCTATATTAGATAAAACAGATGATTTATCTAAAAAATCCACAGATACTATAGCGGGGAAAGATTTTAGATCAAGTAGAGATGTGACGATTAATGAACGTTCAGTATCAACAGAGAAAGAAGTAGTAAACTTAACAGACAAAAATTCTTTAGAGCAGAAAAATATTTTACCGCTAGAATCGAGTACATTTGTTGAAGTTAAAAGTGGTAACAAACAGGATAATACAATACAGAATGTTACATTTCTTCATTCTACTCTACAATCTGAAGAAAATAATAGCGATACTACAATTTCTATAACGAATACGGCCATCTCAAAACACAATAATAATAATATTATTGTAGATACAAAACCATCTACTAATAAAAATGATATTGATAAAAAAGTTAATGATTACACGTTAACAGAAAATTCTGATAATATTATTAGTAAACAGAAGCAATTAAATTTGGACAGTCGAGATTCCATTGATAAATATATGTTTGTCGAAACTAAAGAAAACATAGTGGAGAATGTTATAAAATTGAATAAAAATCTTCCGAAGAATGAAAATTATGATAAAAATGTAGAAACAGCTATGGATAACAGTGTTTTTTCTAATGTACATACGACATATACAATTAATACCAATGATGATTTTTCTGAAGAAGAACTAAACCAATATTTGTTGGAATTAGAAAAAGAAGAAAGTTCTAAGATAGAAAAAATATCACATTCAGATGATACTTGGTTGCCAAAATCATATAATGAATTGACAAGTAACAAAGAAAAGAATACAACTCAATGTCAACAAGATGACGAAGATGTTAACGAAGCGCCAATATTTGAGAAAATTATGATTGGTGAACTTCCAAAAATATCACAAGAAGAATTTCATGAGAAAACAAAGAAATTTTCTGTAATTGATTATAGCACAGATGTATGCAATGAAAATGTAATGGATGCAAAGTGTAATAACATAGTAAAAATTACTTCGCATGAAAAAAGTAATCAACTAAAAGATGTACAAAATAACGAGCTAGACAAAATGACAAAAGATAATATAATTGAAAGTCAAGATGTAGTGGTACAAGAGAGTACGTTACAAGATTTATCGCGTATTGCCATTGAAGAAAAAGTGACATCAAAATTTGAACATATTGGAGGACAGTTGTGTAATAATAGTAACAATATTAATATAACACAAAAATTACAAGATTCAACTGAAAGTACTTTATCACAGAATGACAAAAGTGATGTTTTATTAAATTTATCTGAAAACAAACAGGATCATGACAAGAAAGTATATTATCAAGATATTACTGATAATAGTAAAGAAGATGTACACGAAACTAAAATACATAACAGTGAGAAGATTTCCAAAATGGAAACTGTATCTAAAATTGCTGATGCTTGTGCAGTCTCTCATGTGAAGGAAAATGATCAGGAAGCCGAGAAACCAACTCGACCTCAAACATTGGATATTGTTTTAATACATAAAGATGATTCTCATACGCCTGGTATGTCATTATAATGCTTTATTTTTATTGATCATATTCCAAGTTTTAAACGCTTTACATATAAAAAAAAAGGTACATATACATAAGAGTTCTTATAAAAGTTTTATTTAAGTTAGTATAACTTTGTGATATCACTTTTTTTTTTAGGAAAAATAAATTTAAATATGTTACTCTTTAATATTTGTTTACACGTATACTTGGTATTATTTTCTTATTTTTTCATAAAAAGATGAATTTTGGATTGATTCCAAAATTCATTGCCAATACTGAAAATCTATAATATATACAACATAGCTATACATTTTCAGTATTAACGATGAATTTTAGAATATAATTTCTTCAAAATAAGGGGAAAATTTTAATCAAAATCATGTAATGTAAATTTTAATGTTGGGTTGGAAATTTCACATATCATATAAGATCTAATTTGTCTATTTCACTATATGTGCGTGCGTGCGTGCGGGGGCGAGTGCGTATATTTCAATGCACATACCAAAAATAGAAATATTTGTATATTTATACATGCACTTTTTATTTTAAAATTACTATTATATCTATAAATGTTATTACATTTGAATTATTATTATATTATGAATGTTACTATATATGAATTTTATACATTTTTGTATTGTAATAAATTTAATAATGGCAGTCAATAATTGGTGCGGCATTCATGTTAAGTAAAAAATAATATTGTAACAGAATCTTCAAGCGCCGTACCAGGGGAATTAGTAGAACCTTCAGAGATTGATGCTACTGTTGATGAAGATCGGGGTGCTTCATCAGATATTTCCGATAATTCTTTAGTTGAATGTAATACAGTATTGGGAAAACAGCCTCCATTTTGGGTTCCGGATAGTGATGCACCTAGTTGTATGTTGTGCGATGTTAAATTTACTGTACTTAAAAGACGTCATCATTGCCGTGCTTGTGGTAAGGTATGTATTTATTATTGAATTAAAAAATATATATAAAAGCTAGTTGTACTATTTGTTTGTTCTATCGGTTGATAAATATATATCAATGATATATATCTATCGCTTATTCTAAATATTTCAGTTTTCTTTTCCAAGTTTGTGCATTATCATTTCTTTTTTGCAGCAACTAAATATTTAAATTTATAATGCGTTTTGCAGGTATTATGTAATAAATGTTGCAATATGAAATATCGATTGGAATATCAGGGAAACATCGATTCTCGTGTTTGTGTCTCATGTTATCATCTACTCACAAAAGGTAAGAAATATTTATATATTATATATTTGTATATTTATTATATGTATATTATATCTTTATTTATAAAGTACGATTATCTAAGAAGTATACTACATTAAAATATAAATTGTTTTGATCATACATTTTCATATGTAGGATATTGAAAGAAATTTATCTGTATAAACAAATATTCTAATGATTCTTATTGATCGAATCATGATAAAAAATTGAATAACTAAAAAATTATGTTATTTATAATTATGTTATTTATGTTATATGTGCAAAAAAATTGCTTTACTTTAAATACTATGGTATACTTTATGCATAATTATTTTGGAACATATATTCCTATAGAAAATATATTTCATATTAAATCCTTTTTTTAAGTATTATTAAATAAAACAAAAATAATTTATATCTAAAAAAAAATCTATTATATATATTTGTCTCTATCTAAAAAAAAATCTATTATATATATATTTTATATTATATTTTCAGCAGAAAACGAACAGAATAGTGATTGGTCAGCCGGCTATAATTCATATACCGATTGTAGCAATGCTAATTCCGCACAGGTATGTTATCAATCTTAAAATTGATTTTTTTATCAATTGTTATAGCGAAATCGCTGTAAAAGCAACTATAGAAATCTCTTTAAACAAATTGCTCGTTTGTTAATGAAATTAAGAAAAAAAGCTAAATTTGTATTAACAAATCATTTATGATTTCATCTACTGATGAATTTCATCGACTAATACTAATTTTTAAGTATTATATCAATATTAATATAAGTGTGATCAAATACCTATAACAATTTGTTGAATACTTCTGTTTAAATTTTATGCTTTACTTGTGTAGACAATTTATATATGTTAAAAACAAATTAAATTAACAAATATTTTGATAATAAAAAACTTTAACATATAAATTATTAATTGAATTTTTAGTTTGATAAAGAATGCGAACTAGAATATGTATTTGCATAGAAAAATGTCTTGTCAGATTTATAATTCAATTCTAATATGGTACATAAAATTGACATTAATATTTTGCGCATAATTAGAAAAAAAATTTGCATAATATAATTACTTGAATACCTTTATTTTGTATTTTATTATTAGTATTTTATTATTAGTATTTTATTATTAGTATTTTATTATTAGTTAATTATTAATAAATTTAAATAGTTTTATAATATTGAAAAAACGAATATTTAATTAAGATGCAAATTCTTTAAGACAAAGGAAGATTTATCGTTAATTATACAGATTCTTATTAATTATATTTAATAAACATTCTTACTCTTGTTTGCAATGTATATTTTGTATTAGATTACATTACAGTAGTATATATGAATTATAGCTTTTCTCCTTTGGATTTTGAAAATGTTTTGTTTATTTTTAACAAAATGTATATGCATGTTGTTACAAAAGTAAAGCATGTTTTACTAAAATTATTTTGTACAATGAAATATAATTTGCTTTATATTGTAATTATACTAGAATCCAGCAAACACATAACAAATACATTAAAATAAAATATATGCTTTATAATTAAATAAAATTATATAATTAAATTAAATCTGCGAGAGTAAGAATTAATTATAACATTATAGTAAACAATAAAAAATAAAATTAACACTTATGAAATAAATATTGAAATGTTTAAAACAATTTTTGTAAATTTATTGATTCTTTTTAAAATGCATATTTTTTTAGTTATACAATTATTTAAGTTAAAGAATGATTTGTTTAATATTTTTTAAGATAATAAAAATTCCTCTACAACAATATTGTTATAAAGTATACTGAAAAAGAATATTTTTGATATTTGATTAATAAATGTGTTTGCTGAATATTTGAATAAATGTCGATGTTAGAAGTATTCGACAAATGGTTATAGGTGAGACAGCCTAATCCAAATAATCCCATGGAGTACTGTTCAACTATACCACCCTTGCAACAGTTAGCTGGCGCGTTGCCACCACCACCAACTGTGATGGTACCTGTGGGTGTTCTAAAGAGAGAAGGTTCAAAGCATCGTGCAGAAGGACAGAAATCTGTAATGTTTAGTGACGGTAGGTAATTATTGTTTACAATTTATTAATTATATATATGTATGTTATTGACATTCTTGATTAATTTTTTTTTCTTTATCTTTTATTATCTAATTCTAAAGTGATTATTTCTATCTTGTATTAAAGAATACAGAGTGTTCGTTGATTACATTAACACTATTGTATAAGTAAGTTCTGTTTTAATGAACACCCTGTATATATTAAATTGTATAATACTACAAACTTATATATTTCGTTGATATTATTTTTGGATTATACATGTACTGTAAATTCTCGAATAATATACTGCAGATTTTTTATTTATTTATTTATTTATTTATTATTATATATATATATATATATATATATATATATATATATATATA